CCACCATCTTCGGGACAAATTTCCATTTTATCTCTTTGGAAAAAGCCTGAGATGAGATACTAACGATGCAAAAACTACTGACATTTCCGGTAGTCAGCTGACTGTAAAATGGCTCAGAGATCCCTGTAAAGAGTGTGGCTACCTGGTCCTCGCCAAATTCAAGTGAGCGTCACCTGAATGACCAGACTTGGGCGGAGCCCAAGACATGCACTGCCCAAGTTAGATGGCACTCCAGAAAAACAACAGTGAATACCACTAGGAACACTGAGCAATGTGTGAGAAGAGGCAGGAGCATCACATTCTCACCTGGGGACCTGCTTCTGCATTCGGTGGCTTCACAAAGAATGGGATTCTGCCTCTCTGCCAGTCATTGAGAACCATCTTGCTCACAGTTTGAATGTCAGGCTCACCACCCTGAAAGAACCCAGTAACAATTTATGTCCACATCTGAAGGGCGTATCACCTTTCTATTACCTGTAAGCAACAGAAACATTCATATTTCCCATGTTCAGCAACAGGCCACATGCTCGTCCAGCCTGCAAACGCAGAAGGTTGTCATACCTTTAGCAGTTTTCCAGTCCTAGAAGCAAGTTTCTCAAGGAAGTCTTCCGTATCCTCCCAGGAATCAATTTTGTACGTCCTTCTCATGTACTCCGGTTTGGCCCTTTCCAGCACCGCACTAATATGATCTTCAGGGCTCTTGATCTTTTCAACTTGAACCTGAAAACAAATGGCAGAATATCAACCCCTTGGAAAGTGTGCATTCATTTCTCTGAACCCATCATATTGACAACAGCAAAGACTTTCCAGCATTTAGTGCTGATACTTACCACTCCCTTCAGCACAATGTCCGTTTCTGTGTCTCCAGATGGATAAACCACACCGGGGCAGTCGATGAGAAAAATCCGCCGCATCAAGGTAATGTATTGCCACACCTGAAAGAGACCAGGAGTTCCTTCCACACAGCCCTCTGCTCTGCTTTTTAAACGCAGGGGTTTAATACACAGGA